AGATAAATGACCGTTCGTTGCCGCTTTCGCCGTTTTATCACATTAACAATGCTAAATTAATCGCTCTTATATAATTCTCAATCTTGTTTTTTTACTAATTACTATTTTAATACTTATTATTTTAACAACAATTTTAATAGTGAATTTATAACAAAATGTATTCGGGGTATATAAAAAAGAGAGATTTATGTATTCTTTTACAAGGTTCAGCAAGCATTTTGTTTTGTATTGATTATTATCTTTTTTTGATGAAGCTGATTTCTCAAACATGTCGAACTTTTTGTCGTTCAACCGGTTTATGATTGCTAGAGAACGGGCCAATGTTCGTGTCATTATACCCAAACCTTAAGTAACAAGAAGATATTATTGTCATAAATAACAAAACAAACTGCTTTGTACGAAGTTGACAAAAAACTGGATATTATGTAAAATCGAGTGTTTTTATTTATGATCGCAATATACTTGTGCAATAAACACGTGCGATATTTGATTTAAGAAATATTAGTGAAATATTAGTTACTGCAAATATATTTTTAATAAAAAAAAAATAACACATCGTTTTCTACATTTTTAATAATAATGATAAAAAAAAAGATACTGTTTTAATCAATATTGCTCTGCGTTTTGCTCAAAAGGAAAGCCGATTTCGCATTTTAATTCTTACAGATATAATCTTACAGTGGAAGAGGTATCTTCCGTCGTCTGACTGAAATTAAGAAAACAAATATCACACAGAAGCGCCCGGGAGATAAAAGGAAAAGTAATACAGCGCAATTTGAAAGATAAAGTCGGTAATGCTTTTGGCTTCCGCGCAAACATCGTTTTAATCCCCATTTCAACAAAGTCCCGGAGCAGAAAGGACCCGGGAAGTTATATCCCCGCAAAGAGAAACACAGCGCGCGAACGAGGCGTCGGGAGGAAAAGAGGAAAGTAGCGGGTTGAATCGAGGCGAGTAATCAGGGAGACATTATTTTCCCTTTGAAAACTTTCGTGTTTTATTACGAAGGAAAACGTATAATCCGCTTGTACAATTCGGCCGACCGAGCACGTTTCTCCTCCCCCCGTGCGCGTTTTCGCCTTTAGTTTTCCACGATCATTCGCGATTGACGCGCCCGATACAAAATCTGGCGCCGTCTTACAACATCGAACGACTGTGTGTGCGTGTGTGGGGTGTCGATTTTTAAATTTTCCTTTGAATTTACTCGGCCCGAGTTCTTCAATGAAGAGGAACACGATGAAAGAATTTCCGACGCGGGGAGGAGGGAAGGGGGGGGGACAAGAAATATATATAGCTTAACCGGTTGACAGTCCCATCAGCGACGCGAAATAAATTCTTGCTTCGATTCGACGACGATAATGACGACAACAGGATTCCTTAATTATGCAATAACCGCTTTGCAAATCGCCGCGAATCCGTTGTAACGGTTTGCGTGTGTATATATATATGTATATATATATCGGTAACGAGCTGCGGACCGAATCCGTTCGCGATCTTTGTCGCGACGACGTGGAATTCTTATTCTATGGCGTTCCCATTATGCGCGCCGAAAAAATACTGTCCCCCCTTCGCTGTTTCTTTCGCGGCCTCGCTCATCGTCCGGGAGAATAACATTCGCACTTTACGATTGTGCTAGCCTACTTTTTTTTTTTTTTTTTTGTCAAGAAGGCCGACTCTCTCGGCGTCAACGGCAGATTCACGATCGGTTGTTTCACGCACACGCACACACACAGACTCTCCGCGATACGGTCGACAACGACCGCTACGGGGCACACTTTGAACGGTCGACGAGTTCCGCATAAATCGAGAATTAAATAGACAAGCTTCCCTAGATCTGCATAATCTCGCGCGAGATTGTGTTAATCCTTGGGCGGGGTATTCTGACACAAACAAGTGCGTGAACACACAAACACACACAACCCGATATTATTCGTCGAAAAAATCAGAGAAATATTCTCTCCTCGCAGATTCTTTTATTACGTGCGTGTGTGTGTGTGTGTGTGTGTTACTCGTATTTGAAAGACGTGCGATTGAAATTCTCTCTCTCTCTCTCTCTCTCTCTCAAAAAAAAAAAAAAAAACATTACGCACACAGATATTTTGTACAAATTGTAAACAACATATTATGAAATTGTAATGCGCATGCGTGCAATTTCCATACGATTAACATATTATTTTAAGGTAAAATAAGAACATTTCACATGCAAAAACATAAATTTTAAGCAGCAAATGTGTATAACAAAGCGAAAGAAACGTAAACATCGCGACAACAACGCGGCGGCGTTGTTATTTCTACTCGGATTCATATTTTGCTTGGTATTTTTGAAACACCGCTTGTGTCACTTTAACGACCATACGGTGACCGGATGTCGTAATGACGTACCGACAAAAGCGCGCGTTTCAACTTCTTTTTCTCTATTTCTTCCTTCTCTCCGCGAGTTTCTGTGCCTCGCGCGCTCTTGCGCCTCCCTATAGAGGCGCGCTCTATCCTTAGCCACATATTCTCTCTTTAATGCATTCTTCGCGCATTTTTCAATTCGTTGTTATTCTGGTTTGCCGGCTGCAGATTATCGCGCCGGATCTTCGAACTCTCTCTCTCTCCTCTTCTCCTCTCGCGCGAGAGACGCGCATTGTTTGTCATCGAGGCGCGAAATATTCTTGACGCCGCGCGTCTGCCGTCTTGCCAAAAAATTTGAGTTAACACGCCGCAAAGCGCACAGCCGCCTACCGTCTAAACGCGACCGAGAAGAACGACACAACACCTTTTTGTCCCGCGACAAACAGATATCGCGCGATTAAGAGTTCGCGCGCGGAGAGACGCAATCTGTGTCTCCCATTTCTTCTCTTCGGAGACGCGCCTCTGTGCTCTTTCTCAAAGGCAAGAGAGATTGACGAACGAAATATTCCTCCAAGCACCTGTCTCTTTCCCTCTTCGCATCTCGATCGTGTGAAGTGACTTTTTATTAAACAACCGCATACCTCGCGGAAAAAAGGAAAGTCGAAAAAATTACGACTAACAAATGTCGAAGAGACATATCATTTTTTGCAAAGTTTTATCACGCGCGCACCAGCGCGAGACAACTTCTTTGAGATGCCGCGCCCGAATCTTTGCTTCTCTGATTTAACGTTCGCAGCTTTTTGATCTGCGTTTTTCTTTTTTTCTTTTTTTTTTTCTTGCGTTTTCGAAGAAACCGCGGCGAAGAATTAGCGGAAGCGGCCAGATTCGCGCCCGAGGCGTTGCACGTAATCGCTAATCATTATTGTAATGTTTGCACAAAGGAGCGATAAGATTAAGAGAGCGCTGCGCTCTTTTCCCACCATCGAAAATCTATCTCGAACTTAAAAACCTCACGCAACATTTTATCGTCGCCTTGGTAGATACGCTGATACCGAAGTTTATTGACAAGTGTGAGATTGAACGACGATACGCGGCATACTCTTAGCGCTGTTTGCTTAGTGTTCTTCCGTTGGTAGTGGCATGTCAATATATCGCGCCGTGCGCGACATCCGACATTCATTCTCGAATAGAAATCGAAAATGTTCGACAAAATCTGCGAGTTCACGTTGCTTGCCAAAGTCGCGCGTAAAAGCGCGAGTAAAAAAAAATTTCCACGAGCTGAAAGACGAGATAATAATATGGTCGAGAGCTGTTGTAATCGCGCATTTGGCAAATATTGCAAAATAGGAAAAGTACTTTCCAGCTCTTCTCAAAAAAAAAAAAAAAAAAAAAATTGAACGCACAAACGACATGTCGAAATCAAATGATATGTAGGAACGTGCGATTAATATAAATCGTCTTCGAATAAATCGTCGTCGATCGAACGCGACGATCCGGCGCGGTCAATGTTTTATAGTTATATCCGCAAAATGACAGTTTCTCGTTTCCACGAATATATGTATTCATCATCGTCCAATAAATCGAACCGTGCCCGCGAATTGTGCGTCCCATGCAACGGACGAGGTAACTCAATTACCGCGTTTACGCAATTTCGCGCGTTCGCGAGCGGCCGGCCGCGCCGCGCCGATCGACGACTCAACGGGTGTCTCGAGCGTTCCCGCCGCCGCCTCTTTTCACGGCGCGCGCGAATCAAGTAGGTATATACGTATTCGAGAGAATCGTAACTTGCTCACCACCTACGAGAGATGGTTGGAAACTCTCTCGCCGCCGCCGCCGCCGCCGCCTCTTTGCCGCACGGGGCGATCGCAATCTTCCCGCGCGGCTCTCGCACGGTTCCCCGCGTTCGGCAGATCGCTGCAGCGCTTGTAAATTGATCGCGGCTATACGTGGCTGAAAGTGATCTGCTCGTTAAGTACCTAGAGGGGGAAAGACAGAGCGCCTTGGAAAGTGAGACGACGACGACGACGACGACGACGGGCGAGAGATCGCGATCAAGAAAATAACGACGATACTCCGCGACGTACGAACGATTAATGGCGAAAGTCGCGCGGGCCGGGAAGTTTTGCTCTCGCTTCTTGCCTCAAGCTGATTCTCCGCGCGCAACGTGCATCGGATCTTGAACGTTGCGTAAGCTTCACGGTAGCTCGAAGCTTCCGCTTCGTAATGTTACTAAAGAGTAAAAAGTTCATTTTTCATTAATGTACCCTGTATAATAATCCGTACGAAATGTACGTGATTATCGCCATTGCGACTATTAACGTGTTTGCACTAGCTCCTCGCAAAAACCTCGGATGAAAGTGTTATTTATGACGACTTGTTAAACTCTCTATCGTTATTGAACAATTTTTATCTTTCAAACGTTGTATTAAACATATTTTTAAAACATGAAGCTGCTGGAGATATCAATCTTCCATTTTTTTTTTTTTTTTAATCAAACCTACAATATTTTATAATTTTGTATCTTGTAATAAGAAAAATTTCAAGTTAACTCTCGTTGCAACTTACGCGCCTGCGTAAGTATAAATACATAACTTATATATATAAATAAATGTATAAATACATATATAACTTATATATAGATATTAAACATTATAATTCTACGTACCCAATCGACTCCATTCCTGTTACAGACGCAACACGCAAACTTGGAGTGTTCAATTCGCGTCGGAAAAAAAAAACAACTTTTCCTTTTCGTTTCCTCTTACGTCGCCGTAAAACCCGGAGAAAATTATTATCCACCAAAATCACAACATCTCTCACTCATGGGTATATAGTTACTTCCGCTTAGCCTGGCTCGAAAACGCGCGTGTCCGAACAATCGTTGTGTACTCTCTCTCGCTCTTTTCTCGCGCAATTGCAAAACCGGCGCGCACCGGATTTTCCACTTCCCCTCGAAGGCGGAAAGCGCTCTCGTCTGCGTTTTCACAGCGCCCACCCCGTATATCGCCTGGGAAAATAAATCTTGTGGGCACTCACCGGGAGGGAGACTGGACACTGGAGGCTGTCACCGGACACGGGTTGCAGCGACTGCAACAGATCGCGTGCGTGAAAGAGAGGACGGCTATCAATGGCTGCATTATACAATACTCGGTGATGGTATATACGCCAATATACGTGGTTACCGGTGCGAGTGCGCGAGTATACGTGAGCGCGCCGCGTTTAGATGTGTGTGTGCGTGCGTGCGCGCGTGTGTGTGTGTATGTATGTATGTTTCGTTACGCACACCAATAGACAGCGGAGGATCTCGTGTATGTTCGCCGCGTCTGTGTGCGTGTACACGTGTAGATATAAGTACCGAACGGGTCCCCACAACGCGAACGGGGCGCGCGCGCTGGTGCAACGCGCGCGGCAGGTATTGCCGGCAGGAGAGGCCTCTCCAGCGCGCATAACCCGTTCGCACGAGCGCGAGACGAACGGACGAAAACGGCCGTGAACGACGAAGGGAGACACGGTATGTGCGCGCCTGCTGCTCCACCCTGTTCTCGGGTTTACTTTTCGAGCATTTCGCCGATTAGATATCGCTCTTTTGCAAACACCGTGTGCTAGCGTGCGCGCGTTCGATTATTGTACGACATCCTCGTCTCACACTCCCGAGATTCACCCACCGACTCTCTCTCTTCCTCTCCCTCCCGTTAGTGTCTTTATCGCCCTTGATACGTGTGTTCTTCGCGTTCCTCCCCTTTTCCTCCTTTCCCCCCTGTCCCTCTCCCCCCACGGCGGGTAAAACTCTCCCTCTCTCCTCTTCCCGTTCATTCTTCCCGCCTATCTCTCTTTCCAGTTTTCGTTCTTCATTTCTCTTTTGATCTCACTCGACCGGATCGACCTGTTTACGTGTGCAGCCGCAATAACTATATCCAACTCGGAACGTTTTTCTTTTTTTTTTTTTTCTGCCAGCCCGTTCTCTCTCGCAACTTGAAAATATAAAATTGACTTATCGTCAAAAAAAGAACAGAAAAAAAAAAAAACTATATATGTCCGGCGATTCGTAATTGTCCGCGCGTGTCTGGATGTTTCCGAGAACATTCAAGAGTATTGCGCGCGGGGAGCGAGCGAAGTTTTCTTCCTCCGCGCTCTCTTTATACGTACGTACCGCGCGCCACGTGGCGCGGTTCTATTGCAAATCCTCTGGTTTTTGCTTCTATAGTGACCGCTTTGAGTAAGCCGCAAACTGATATTGTCGAGCGAGCTCGCGATCGATCGATCGAGTTCGCTCGCGATCGAGTCTATCTTGAGCAATCGCTTGCTTATGATCGAAATAAATTATATTTTGATAGCGTATCAGTGTTTCACCGGAAATGTGCGGAAGATACTATATGCGACAGTTACTATGCGTGCAGCTCAGCATTTTATATCGTTATATTTATTTATACAGTTTGTTATTTTAAGACCTCGATGTGCGAATGAGAATAGAACCCCGATAAAACTTTGCGTCAGTAATGCGGGGGGGGAAGGGGAGGAAGAAAGGAAGAGAGAAGAGAATCACGCGCGAGAATGTTGTTATCGCGATTTCACGTAGAAATTTATTTATTGACGATTGAGAGCGCGCAGAGCAAGAGTTTCGCGATGCAAATTTGTTAAAAAGGATCATTACGCGATTACACGCGCTTAACACGATTTAATGCGAAATGCGCTCGGTAATGCAAAAGCGCAACAGTTAGATGTAGCAATTGCTAATACCATATCGCCGCGAAACATGTTACGCCGGAGGTGTATCGCTTATGGGGAGAGAGAGAGAGAGAAAGAGAGAGCATATCGATAAGTCTCGCTAGTGTTGCGCGTGTACTGGAACCCGCGGAGACGATAGACCATTTCATAGTTAATGTTAAAGGTCTTTATGGATTCCATTAAGTCACATTGTACACGGGCGAATAACCGCGTCGTGAATGAATAAGCACAATAAGCAGGTGCCGTTGGACTTACCGGCTTCGAATCCTCCTTACAGCTGATCGGGTTTACGGCCGTATCGACCCCGTCCACCGTCGTACAATTACGGCGAACATCAGGAAGCGTACCGTCCTGCGAACAAGAGATGAGAAAGAATCTTGGTCAGAGCCTGACGAATAATGCAAAACGTCATTCCGCGCCGTTTAACCTTTGACAAAACGTCCGCGCGTAATACTCTCTATCTATCTATCTCTCTCTCTCTCTCTCTTTTCTCACCGGGGCGGAGAGGAGAGAGGATTCTCTATTCCTCTGATATTCTTGCGTGTTATGCTCTTTTTAACCTCTTATTACTACTATACACGGATCGTCGTAACTGGTTCTCAAATCTTGTTAAACTTTTGACCCGGCGACTGCGCGCAACGGTTGGTAACGCCGAGGCGTATAACTAACGATAATTGAATATCGAATTTTACGTTCGCGATTTTTGCGCATATTCTATATAAGAACAAATTTACAACAAAGTCGTACTTTGGGTTTTTTTTTTTTTTTTTTTTCTACGACGAAATTACCGAACAACTATATCGAGTCGCGAACATTTCGTTGTATAAGTTTTTTTTTTAATTTTTTTTTTTTTATAAATTGCCGCCTGCGCGTCGCGACAGTTTTTGTTCGATTAATGACACAAAGAGAGAAGAACGTCCCGGGTTAAAAACTCGGTTTGTTCGAGAGGAACAGAGATCGGCGTTTTGCGGTTGGTTAACAACAGGTACGGGAGAATCCCGGGAGAGAGAAGACAAAGGACGATGATTCAAAGGTAGGAGGAGAGAAGAACCTGGTAGATGACACGAGATTCCTACGAAGGTGGGTACTACGTCACTGTCTTTTTCTTCTCTCCGCTTCGCATGTTTTCTCTTTCTCACTCTTTCGCGTGCGTGCGCGCGCGCGTCGTCGTCGTCGTCGTCGTCGTCGTTGTCTATGGTTTTAACGTTTTCAACTCGAAACTCGGCATTCCGCCGCGGTGTGGAATCCGACGATGCTAAATGAATCGTCTTGAGAAAATATAATGTCCACTAAACATTCTTCTCTCTCTCTTCCGTAATTTATAACCGCGCAGAGGCCATTTGAGCGCCTAACAAATGCCTGACGTCATTTCGTTAGATATACGCCGAGGAATTGTTACGAGACATCGCAGATAAGTTAAGTTATGCGGTTTACAAATAGACACTCGTAAAGTCGAATATTATTCCAATTACTTTCAAACGTAGTTTCTTTTTTTTTTTTTTACATAGAGTTTTAATATATAAAATACTTGCGCGAGTCGAATTCTTTGAACACACACGTGTACCTGCGTAGTTCGCAGGAATAAATGAATGCAATACCAACATACACATTTTTTTATATTAATTTGTATTAATTTCATTCCGCAGCACAGTTTTAGGCGTTTCTCGCGTACGAAAAATCTCTTCGTTTGCGTTTCGCGTATGTACCACACGGGATAATAAATGTGTTAAAATCGCTTTTTTTTTTTTTGTCGTTTTCTCCTCGGAAGAACCGTCAGCTTGCAGACGCACTCTCTCCCCTCTCCTCCCTCGAAAACTGATGGGACCGTATCGCTTCTTATTCCGGAAGATCACAGGTAGCGCCCCGCTCTATTAATAGATCGACTGATCAATTCGCAGGCGCGTCCGGACGGGAGTTTGTACCTGTGTGGCACGTGGGCGTTCCCGGGTAGCGAGCAGCCGTAAAGTCGTTAAATAGCCACTTCGAACTTTAGAATCAGGAGGTGATGGATCATTAGCCTCGAGGATCTTTCCGTAACCCTACGGTCTCTCTCCGGTCGAGAGCCCGGTACACGGACTTCGGTTACACGCTCCGGGGGCGAGATATCATCGTGAGGCGTGCGAGCCGTTCCGGCTTCGGTTTTAAACACCGTCCGGGTGAAAATCAAAACGCTCGCGCGATCGTGACGCGATTAAAATCGTAACATAAATTCGTCTCTTTTAAGTTGTTTTTTTTTTTTTTTTTAAGTCAGAATTTTTTTCGAGTCGAATTACATTGTTTTCGCCATCTACCGTAGTAGAATTGTTGCGAACAACAATAATACGAAAATAATACGCGGTGTTACTTTGTTTTCTAGTTTTCTAGTTTTCGAAAAAAGAGATTATATCGCAATTTCTTTTTACGCTCGCGTATATCATAATGTCAAACAAATGTATCTTAAGAATATACACATTTTGGAGTTTAAAATAAAATATGCGCAACGGAAATATGTATATGCGCAAAACACAATGACTGGCACGAATGATAAGATAAATAAAAAATAGTCATGGATCGGTGTTGCTTTAATACACACACATATATATATATATATACACATATATATACATATGTGTGTGTGTATACAGAGCGTACATGATAAATTTGCAAGCGAGGCGACGGAGCGAGCGATGTATGGTTTTTAGTGAGAAGCCATAAAGACGGTAAATAAGTACCTACTTTCGAACGGGTGAAGAAAGTGGCGCTTGAACGTTGTCGGCTCGATGGAAGAAGAAGAAGAAGAAGATCGGGGGGCAGGGGGGGAGGGAGGAGGGAAGTAACGACGCGACGCGCCGCGTTCCAGAGGAGAGTACATAAAATCAACGTGGATTACGCGCAAATGGACGGCGCGGAAGTCCGCAATGAAAGTGTCTAGAAATAATGAGAGTTCGATGTGACAGAAGGATGTGGTCGAATAGACATAAACGCCGCGTGTGCGCGCGCGCGCGCGCGAGCGCGAGCGCGTTCCAGTTTATTTCCCGCCGCGCCAGGAAGCCGCAACAAATCATCGTGCGGTGGTCTACAAGCCGGCCGCGAACAGTCCCTTCTTTATGAGGCATCAAACGCACATCTCGCGATCGAAAGTACCGATCTTCCTTTCGTTTCACGACCGTGTATCTGTCGGGTAATGATCTTAAAGCCGCAGCGCGCCACGACCCGTAGATAGAAGTTGTTTAACGTGATTGTGTAGCACCTGAAGCCCGTTGATAATAAACAAAATCAACGTACCGTGTCCGCAAACAAAAAGAACGAACAAAAAGGTCACGTGGATTTGTAACAAAAAAAAAAGAAAAAAAAACATGTTTACTTCAAATCTATTTACGTAACGTTGCAATTGTAAGCGACCGCGGGGAGATACGCAGAAATGTCTCTCTCTCTCTGTTGCAATATGAAGTAATTAAACCCGATAATTGAAATAAGCAGGAACTTAATACCGGATTAGATAGTGCGCGGTAGAATAAGATGTAGAAATCGCGCTCGGTATTATAGATCTGTCGCGGAGATAAGTAGAATAATGCGTTTTATATACAGCGTCTTATTAGAAAGTGCAAAGGTCCGAAGGATATATATATATATATATATATCTACAACAAAACAATCAGCGCGTGCGAATAAAGCGCTGAATAATCTCAATCGATCGATATCGACACGATGTACAAAAGATTCTCGTTATCGTCGTTTGTGCGCTTACGTACGAAAGTGGTGAGCAACTTACGTTGAGACACAAGACGGGAAGACACTCTCCGAAAAGGTAGAGCGCGTTGCGGTATCGTAAAAAAAAAAAAAAAAAAAATTACACGTGTGTAAGTAGTGTGTGTGTTTTTTTTTCTGGATGTAATATAAGAAAGCTCGCGATATATAAAAGACAGGGGCAGTCAACTTTTGGACATATTTGCGAGAAACAGGTGGCCGAAACCTGAAACCGACGATAAAAGTTTTTTTTTTCCCGCCCATCAGGCATAACGGATATTATGTATTGCTACATTGCGCTTTATATCTACATTCTAAAATACGTAAAAAAAATTTATCACCGGCATTACACTGTTATAACTGATTTACACTGCTGCCGAACGCTTTTGCTACCCGTAACACATAAGCGCACCCGTAATAAATCAACTCTTGAAATATAATCTCAAGTAGATTATAAACGCGAGTTTCGTCAGACATCAACATACGCGGATATTGGAAGGGACTATAAGAATAATCAAGGGACTATAAGAATAATCAAGAAAAAAAAAAAAAATCCATACACAAAGTAACTCCGTACGGACGTAAAAATAACATCATCGCGGTGAACTTTAGAGAATTCACTCTCGAGTGAATACGCAGCGAGATTCCCTTCCAAGGTCGCACGAATCAAACGTGACAAACTTATCGCGGCGTTTCTGAACGATCTGTTCGAAAGATTGGGAACGATCGGAAAACTCGCGTGGCGAGAATCGGCGCGGATGAGCCGCGAGAGAGTATATGTATGCGATCGGTCAAGTAGGAGTTCGGTGGACGAAGCTGTTTGCCGGTTGGAAGACGAGCCCGAGCCGCTGGAAGGATGCTGGAGAGGCCGAGTGGTGGCGGCACGGCCGGTGTGGTCAGGTGGCTCGCAAGGACGCGGCAGGCCATTCACCCGTTCACCCGTTCTCTCTCTCTCTCTCTCTCGCCACCGGCTGCCCCCCTCGCCTACGGTCAGTACACACAGGTGTTCACGTGTACACCGACACGTACTCGTACGAGACACATACCGTCTTGTCCCGCGGATCTCTTTCTCTGTCTCTCTCTCTCTTTCTTCCTCTTCATCGAGAGACCGTCGTCCTCTCGTTCTCTCGTGGGTTCCGTCCTCTCTTCTTGTGTCTTTCGCGCTAGAATCTCCTCTTTCTCTTCTCTGCTCTAGATCCGAACGCAGCCTTTAACTAAGTTACCGGTATTTGTACTCCGTGGAATCGCCGTGCTCCCCGTGTAAACACGATAATTGACCCGTTACACTTTGCACCTCGCGCTAACGAGAATTTGTTTCTTTAAGGTGATACACAGGTGAGCGCGAGTGTGTGTGCGCGCGCGCGCGTGTGTTTCTCTCCTTTCTCACAGGGAGGGAAACTACTTCTCTCGCGTTTATTTCGCCGTCCGTGTCTCGGAAAATTATCGAGGCGCACAAATTCAATGTACGTTCACCGCGGAAACGCAATAGAAAGCCCATAAAACATTAAGGTTTATTTGGTAAATTCTCGAATTATTGAAGCGATATCAAGTCGTTATTATTATTATTATTTTTTTTTTTTTTTATCGTTACGTGTTTGCGTCAGAGAGACTCGCTCGAAATGAAC